CCGCTTGTCTTCCCTTCAGTCATCAGCGAGGAGCCTAGCTCCTCCATCTTGCGTTCGATCGCGCCGAGACGCGCTGTCTCGCTGCTCTTCTCTGCCGTGGAGCTTGAGGCTAGCTCTTTTCGGAGCGCCTCCGTCTCTAATGCCGCTATGCATCCTTCTATTATCTCGAAGGCGCCAGGGGCGGGGTCCATCCGTCTCACCACCTCCGTTGCGCCAGCGGCAGTGGATCTCGCCGCTTCTCTGAACATCTTCACATGTGTGCCCTTTAGGTTTCGGGATGTTTCGGCAACCTTGGTCACCTCAGAAGCTCGACGGAGCAGTAGCGCTCCTATGTCCGTTGTAGTAGATGTCCTCATCTCTTCGGCCAATTCCGTGGGGAGCTCGGGAGATCCGCCGGTCTTTCTTTTCTTCGCGCGGGGCGCTTCGATCCGTAGGCTCCCCGCGGTCAATGCAGAGCAAAAGAACCCCTCCTTAAGAGGGACCGCCTTCCTTATACTTCTGGTGCTGACGTGTGTAGGCTCAACAGTCAACTCCACTTCGCCCTCTCCTCTCGTGGTTTCATCCGCCTCTTTATCCTCCCCCATAGTTGTGTCCTTTTTCCTCCATTGGGCGCGCAAAATGGCCACTTATACCCGCACTTGTCACTACTACCTGTCACTACCACTTTTAAATGGCCCGCGCGACGCGTTTTCGGCGCTTTTTTCCACAGGCACTAGCCCTTCACTCTGATTAACTTCCTTGTCCGAATTCTCCAGTTTTCCCGGAGATTTCGATCATGCTCACAGCTTCGTCCTCTCTGTGGCTGCTCCATGCAAATGCCCTTCGAAGCGATGACTGCTGTAGACCTGAAAAGCTGTCAAAGCTGTGATAATGCAAGCGGAACCCATTTATTATTGTCACGTCTTGTTAAAACTTACGCATAGTATTTACGAACATTGTTAGATTACACGTGCCTGCGATCGCTATACTCATAATCACTAAGAGTTTTAAGTATCGATGATGCGTAAATAACATTTAATTTGTGGTGTTATATATACTTGCATATCTTCCATGTTTAAGCATTGCATCTATTTTTCTTTTCTCGTCCTTCGTTTTCTCCCACTCGTTTTTCCGAATCGCAACATAACGTACAAAAAAACGTCTCTGGCTGAAAACTCTGAACATCGTCGCTGAAAGAACATAAATGCAAACTCGCGTATGCAACTTTACGGAAGGCACCGGTAAGAATACTACTAGGAGAAAAAGTCGCGATATCCTCTTCCGCTCAAGGCAAAACAATTCTCGAGAAAGTACTTAGTAACATATCTGTCCTGTATTGATTCATTGCGCTGAAACATACAAGTCCGAAGAACTAAGCGATATATCGATTTACGATATAACTGACCAAAATCTTTCTCTGATTTTGTCGCACTAACTTCGAGTTTTGTAGAACTCATTCGTAAATATTTTCCGATTTTACTAGAACAAACGAATGTTCTGGTAAAATCGTCAAAGAGAAATGAGATGTATTTCGATGGAAAAAAGATGAAAATGTTTCAAAAATTCGCTGTCGAAAGTACGGTTGTAAAATAGCACAATGTAAAATTCAAATAAAATATAATGCACTCACCTATTTCATGGAACCTCGGGAGGATAGAAAACATTTGCCACGTTGAATGTTTTCCCGTGTAACATCGGACAAAGTCATTAAAGAATCGTATTTTTGCATTTTGAATAATGGCATTCAATACTCCATTTACATAATTTGAGCATAAATCAAGGAACATATTTTCATAACGTGAGGTCTCCTTCGTGCCTTTTTCCAAGGTGTATGCCAAAAAATATCTCGAGTGTATAAAGCGAGTACGCGATGACCCATATTCCTTAGTCCTTGAAAGATTTTTCGCTATCCCAAGTAGAGCCTTGAGCAACGTCTTCTCTGGATGAAAAATAACCAGAAAAATATCGCCACGAGTTTTTTTAATTTTACAATCTCTATACTACGTGTTACGAATCAATAACAAATTCTGCAGCTACCGACGTAATACGTAGATATAGTTTCATAAAATATGA